TGTGATAAGATTATTTCATACTGCCTTCTGTACCTTTCTCCACTACACAGAATAGTCACAGTTTACTGCATTGATTCAAAGTGCTTCACCTCCCTTTTTTCCACTTCTCCTTTTTAAATGGGAAATCTTTTTGGAAGAAAACATCCATAAGAAATTCATAAGAACAGCACTCAAAACACCCAGGAGAAAATAATAAAGTTTTCGCAGTAATTGCTGATTTCACGGTTCTTTTTTGAGATTTCTTCGGTCACTCTTGAAAATGAGTAGAAAAGAGATACTTTTCTAAAATCTGGAAGGAGTGAAGAATCTGGAAATGAAGGCAGAGATTTTCAAAAATCCTTTTTGCTAAATAGATGAATAGGAGATAGAATGTAAATGTAAGGGCTCTGCACAAATCACCATGCAGAGATTTTGAATCCCCTCCCCCATAGTTACTGGCTTGCTTCTTCCTCCCAGGAGCCAGCCTGGGAGAAAGTGAAAACCACCAGTCAGTGAATTTAAACCTTTGTCTAATGGGCCCTGACCAAAGTGACCCAGACACAGGCTTCACTTTGGTTGATGGAGATACTTACTCCCTGCTCTCCTGAGTGCCTGCCAGTTGCGTTTCGACCAACATAGCATGGCTATTTTGTGTTATACTCTTATAAAGCTGGAGTACGTTGCCATTTTTTTCCTCATAACATTTGAGGGGCAGGTGGCATGGATCCTGGGTTTGGGACATCTCAGGCACTTGTAGTATTGTGGGGAGTGGTCCTTAAAGAACTTGAGGGGAATGTCTTGTCTGATTTGGAGTGGACGCATGTGCTGCTCCCCTGATGGCAGGGGGGCTACACGAGAGGCTCTTGCCATGTGAATTCTTTCTTACCATCCAATGGTTTTCATCATCGGGCCAGGGGATCGGGCTCATTGATCAACAGACAAGTTGGTTGATTCTTGGATCCACACCCCTGCCAAACCTGCCTACAGCTGTAAACCAATAAAGTTGTGACTTACCTCTTCTAGATATATTGTATGTATAGTGTGTTATTTTATGCAGAGCAGAATTTGCCATCTCTGGACTCTCCATTATGTATGCATTGTGTTTAGTTAACCAGTTAACGGTTAATTTAAGCTTTCCAAGAGAGAGAGAGAGATGTAAGGCCTTCTTCACAGAACTATAATAATAATAAAAAGACAGGGTGTAAATTTGTAATGCCATACTGATAAAAAGGAAGCAAGCAAGCAAGCAAAAGATCCCATTATATTTATATGTTGCCTGTAGTATATATACCTACTTAGATTAAAACTTCACAAATTTTTAAACTAAGAACTACAGAACTATTTATATAGGTATATCTATACTAACGGGAAAGGAACTGTATACAAATTCTGAAAGATGTTACAAGAGTGAGAAGAGGTACCCAAATGGGAGAAGCTGGAAAAATAAAATGATTTTTACTACATACAGAACAATTGGCCTAATTTCTCCTGTTAGTACGGACCTTTCTTCCATGTTGGTAGACAGCTTTAATCAAGCAGGTGTGCATATGGTATATTCGGCTGCTTTCCTGCCACCCACCCATCCATCGCCTTGTTGCATTTCCACTAAATTCCGAGAGCAGGTACTATAAACAGAGTCTTCACTTGATCTCCCCCATCCCTTGGCTTTCTGCATATTTGCTCTGGTATTTCTTGTTGGCCTTGAATAGGAATAAAAAAGCAGTTGGAATTTGCTGCTTTACATCCATCAGTAAGAAAAAAAAATACTTGTTTTCAAAACTAGTTTTTTCTGTACTTGGATGCAAATACGTTCTGTTTAATAGTTTATACTACCAAAGGAAGCCAATGAACTTCACCATTGCATGCTTAGTAATCAGAACAGCTTTCCTGATTATGTTGCTGCATAATGCCACACTACGTAATATCCATTTGATCAGAATAAGGAGTGGAACAACAAGAAATTTATTCACCTTTTGAATTTGTGTTTGTTGTGCGTGGCAGCTGGATACTTGCTTGCTTGAAAAAAGTTGTATCTGTTATCTTACCAATCCATTCTTTTGTTCTTCCATGATCCTGTAGCTATGACTGTGTGACATTTTCTTAATATGTGTTTAGCAAGTGATAATAGTTCTCAGTCATGGCTGAGTGTGCCTGGATGTTGGATTTAGTTTCCCCACAGCAAGACTTCATGGCCTGGTACACTGAAATATGAGTCTGCTTACAGTCTCCATGCTGGGGAACAGAAGAATAATGGATCACAAAACACATTTCACTGCTATTAGCTTTTCAAGCAGATTGAGCTATTTGCTAGAAGAAAAAGTGTGCTGAGGCAATTATGTTTGTATCTGGTCTTTGCCCACTTGCTGTTTCCAAAAATGTAATGGCCATTTCCCCTGTGTCTGTCTTTCTCTCTGATTGCGTCCCTCCTCTTGTTCATAGCTCTATCCTGGGACAAAGACATTTATTTTATTGACTGTAGAAATATCAGCCAAGACTGATATGAAAATGGCAATTAGCCACATTGTTAGAACATAAAGGAGTTGTTTATGGTTTGTGGAACACTTATGAAATATCCTTCATCACACTTGGGCAAACTGTCTTTGAACTCACAGGCAAAAATAGTAAAATAGATTACAAAATTGAATAGAAAACGATTCTTAATATGCTTTAGGCATATTCCAGAAGGAACTACCACTACTAATCTATGCCTTCTTTTCTTAGGAACTTCTTATTTAAAAAACATAGAATACCACCAAGCATTTTATTCTTTTAGAAGTAAGACTATGTGGGTTGTAGTTGCATAACACTATGATGTGAGGAAGGTGAAGAGAACTAGTTCTGTTTAGAACACTGCTTCTTAAACTGTAGGTCCTGACCTCAAATGGGGTCCCCTTATCTCAGTGTTGGGGTCCTGAAAAAATTGACAACCGTGGCTGTTTAAGACACTTACAAGAATCTGTTGTGCAGTGTTTTCAAATGGAAATACAGAAAAGGCTTCAGCTGTACTTCATAAAAAGGAAAATCAACCTGTTTCAGCAAGCCTTGCAAATGCTGAATGTTTTATTTTTATACTTACCTGTATTTACTCGAGTCTAATGCGCCATCGAATTTAATGCTCACTGCAATTTTCAAAAACTGTAAACAAAAAAATGTATTTGCTGACTAATAATGTGCAGCAACAAAAGGTGCACTCTTTGCAATATGGCCATTACAGTTGCTGCCTGCTTAACTTTGCCCACAGTGCCCTTCCTCATGCACACAGGAAGAATTGTTTAAGGCACTGGTTCTTCAACCTGTGGGTCCCCAGGTGTTTTGGCCTACAACTCCCAAAAATCCCAGCCAGATTACCAGCTGTTAGGCTTTCTGGGAATTGAAGGCCAAAACATCTGTGGACCCACAGGTTGAGAACCATTGGTTTAAGGCTGCAGACAATGTGGTCGCTGTTGCCCGTTTTTGGTCAAAAATTATTTAGCCACTTGTGCTCCTTCTTTTTTTTATCAGTTTTATCCTTATTTATGCAATGCTTTTGACACAAAATAAATAACATTCCTTCTTTAAAAGCAATAGTGTTAAAACACCAAAGCTTTCAGCAACAAAAAGGAAAACCTTGGAGTTCTTCTATGGCGAAGAACAAATCCTCTTTAACTGCCCTGGCGCCATGCTGTGTAGTCATGGGGGCTGTAATTTTACAAAGTCTTGAGCCTTCTCTGCCAAAGTGTGCTGGCGCCTCACCAAACCTACAAATCCCAGGATTGCACAGCATTGAACTGTGACAATTAAATTGCAGATGACATCTGTCAAATAGAAGTTCCAGGTGCAGCTCCGGATGCAGCTTCTTCTTTTGCTTTGTCTCAGCACTAAGATTACCATATTACGCAAATCTGATGCACACTCTAATTTTGGCAAGGACATTTAGCAAAAAAGGTGAGCATTCGATTAGAGTAAATACCATATTTTATATACCTGTATGCTTAGGAGTCACATAAAATTTTCTCAGGCCAAAATGGGTTGTAAGCGGAAAAGTTTAAGAAGCCTGGTTTAGAGCAAGAGTGATTGCTCTCACATTTATTTATTTTTTTGGAACATAAGAAGGGATAAGTTAAGACAGGTTTTGTGCTCTGCCCAATGGCAAGATTTTACTTGGTCCTTAGTGTGGAGTAGCCCTAATCAAAGATGCCATTGTGCAGAAACTAACCCCAGTAACTGACTTTTCATCTCAGGTAAGTTGGTTTTCCTTCACACACCACTGTCACAGTCCTGCTACTTTCTGGAATCTTCCATCCAAAAAACAGGTTTGAAGATCCTCAAGTCTGTGGGGAAACTTATGTGTGGATTACAGAGGCCCTGTAGTTCTTGAGACAATCATGTGGATTGTAGCGGGCTCTATAGTAGAGTCTTTCTTTATTTTTTTGCTGACTGTTTAACCTTGTTGCTCTTCAGCGCAGCGATGACATATATAACCACAACCACAAATTATTAGTAGTATTATATTACAAATAAAATAATAACACATGAAAGCTGGTAAGGTAATACAGCGTTCAGGACTCCGTTCCTGTAATGTCTGACCTCTCATACAACACTGTTTATCAAGCTAAAATGGAAAGATGAGAGAGGAATTTAAAATCTAGGTAAAGACAATTGGTTCTAGAAAGACCTCTAAATATGATCTTAGCCTGAAGAAAACAGCACTCTGGGCTACATGGATACTTTACATAGTACAAAATGAAACCTTTCTTCTCCTTTTTTAATTAGACATCCTTTCACTCATCAAGTTAAAGTGTGCAGTTGAAGTTGATCATAAAAATGCATCATGCTTAAAGATTTTTTTTCACCAGGTTTTCTTTAATATTGATGCCCTTATGCACTTTGGGAAAAGACGAGATCATAAAACTGTAAAATACTGCCTGTGTATTAACAGCAGCTTATTTATAAGCTTGAATACATTTACAGTGTAGGAGGTGCACTTCATTACATTTTGATGTGTTTACCATCCCTCTTTTTTTTCCCTTCCCTTCCTCCAGGAATTCTAGAAAGGAACTTAATGACATACGATTTGAATTTACTCCAGGCAGAGGTATGACTTTTAATTGAAATTATGCCTTTATGGTTGCAAATGGTATTTTGGAAATTGATTTCTGTTTTATAGGTTTAATATAAATTAGCAATATGAAACAACTCGTACCATCTAAATGTATTATATTGTACTGCTTAACCAAAACAAAAAAAAATGTGCAGAGTATATACATTTTTAGGGTCATAGTTGTGAAGTGTTTGATCCAAAGTGCAAAATGCTGTGCACAGAGTGATTGCGGGTGGGGGGGGGGTGTATTCTGCTGGACTGATGTCTTTCTAATCTAACAAAAGTCAGTCCGAGGCAGCCCTGCTGTTATCTGACCTAAGAGTTGTGCATCACACCACATGGGTTGGTGTGGCATGTTGGTAAGGGATCACTACATGAAAAGTTGCAGGCAGAGCATAAAATACATGGAAACCTGTAGTGATAGCCTAATAACAGCCTTTACCTTGCACATAGTGGATGGAAAAAGCAGTGTTTTTTCACTTTGAATCTCTGCAGGGCCCAGTTAGCCTTAGTTTCTACTCAAGACCCCCAAAGGACACTCAGGTTGGCATGACTGACTTCTCATAGTTGGGAACAGCAGTGAACGAGGGAGAGGCATATTTACTGTTCTAGCTCATGCACTAACTGAAAGTGGCATTATGATGTCTTCCATGTAACACAGTGGTTCTCAACCTGTGGGTCCTCAGGTGTTTTGGCCTACAACTCCCTGAAATCCCAGCCAGTTTACCAGCTGTTAGGATTTCTGGGAGTTGAAGACCGAAACATCTGGGGACCCACAGGTTGAGAACCACGGATGTAACACAAGATTTCCTTGTCCCACTGGTAGTATCTTCTTGGGAGTAGAGTTCATTACTTTGAGAACACCTGCTTGAAGGATAATGGCTGTAATACATTGGTAAACGATTCCTCCTTTGCTCAATTTATTACAAATGTTATATTACTTAGAAAAAGCTACAATGTTCAGAATAAAAGGCTAAGATGGCTGATGAGAGACATATATGCTGGTGAATGAAGTTCAGGCTATATCTTTTTGACCTGATACTCTACATTCCTAGAATCATGGAATAGTTTTCTTCTTAAAACTCAAATCACAGAAATGAGTGTAGGGATAAAGTGAAATTGATGGAACCCCATTTATTTGAGAATAAGCCCCACTTTGCTGCAGAAAAAGATGCTGTACTTTGACCTCCGGTGGGAATGGCGACGGCGAAGCCTCGCTGAGGGAAAGCTCTCTCAGGGAGGACCTGTTTTGAGTGGCGAGGTCGAGCTATAGCTCCCCACCTTTGACCGGATCGAAGGCGAAGGTGATCGTAAATCCCCTGGGTGCTTTGAAGACCCCAAGGCCCCCCTATTAAGGGGGAATCGAAGGATCTGAGAGCACCAAAAGGGGAGCGGGCTGCTCTACAGGATCAGGCTCGGCTGAGCTTGTCCAACCGCCTCCACCCCATTTTTAAGATAAGAATTCTACAGAAGAATGAACCCCCACGTTAGGGGGCTAAAGGGACTGTGTTCCTGAAAGAAGAAATTTCATCTTCAAGGTAATATAAGAGGGGGAGGGACCTACCCCTCGGAATCTAGGCAAAGAGGGATTAAATCAAGTACTTTTATAAGGAGAAAAGAAGAAGATAGTAAAGGAGAGAATCTATAATAAGAAGAGTGTTTTTATAAGTTGATTTTAAATTGGATGAACTTTAAAGTCTAAAGGATTTGGTATAAGTATTTTTAAAAGTATCAAAGAAAATAGAACTTTATAAATATCAGGACCCTTGTACTCTCCTCTAAACATTAGGCTACACCCCCGCACTGCTATCTAAATTAGAGACTTTAATGGGCACTACAAGAAATTGAATTAGCTTACAGTGTGAGGAGAAACGACCTTGGCTCCATTGTTGTTTGGTCTACGCTGGCCTTCTTTATAAACAATTGAAGAAAAGCAAGATAGGAACTGACGAAACGGAAGGCTGCTGTGGAACAACACAGGAAGAAGAGAGCAGTGCAGGCTGGGAGTGGTAGTCCAAAGGTCCAAAAAGGTTTTAAAGGGCAGAGAAGAGCATAAGAGCACAAGGGCAGAAGTGAAGAAGATAGCAAAGCAAAGAAGGCCGGAAGAGGCAAACGGAGTTAGGAAGTGGTCTAATAATTAAGACACAGATCATTCTCTGAGGGCAATAAAGGAGGAATTTAAAGAATAAAGACAAGGAAGAGAAGCAGACGGGTGACAGACGAGGAGGAGAAGTAGACGATCGATGGACGAGGAGGAGAAGCAGACGGGCAGCGGACGAGGACGAGAAGCAGACGCAAAATAAGACCAGGCCGAGAAGCAGACGATAACAAAATTAATAAAATTAATTAGAGGCTTTTAAATCTTTAAAAGCATACTCAGATCTTACTCCAAAGTTGATTGATGAATTAATTGAAGGGAAATTAATGATTAATTGATTAACTGATTAACTGATTAATGGATGGGAGGAAAATAATTAAATTGTATTCAAATTAATTGATTAATTTTAAATTAGTTGATTAACTGAATAATTGATTAAATATATATTAATTTTTAATGAACTGGAATTTAATTAAGAATAAAATACAAATCTACTCATATAGAAATTGCAACAATAAGTGAAACAAGTTATAAGCAATTACAAGCAGTTAAAGAAAGTGAATTGGCTTTTAAATGTCAACAAAGGGGAAAGCAGAGAAAGAAAAGGAGAAGGAATTACAGACATAGACACAGCTGAGAAGAGGATCTTTAGATAGAGGGGTGAATATGGAGAATATTCTAAAGGAGATTAAGAAGCTTTCTGAAAAACAAGATGCCATGAAGAAGGATATGACAGACAAACAAGAAGAATACTACAAAAAACAAGAAGAACATTACAAGAAATTAGATAAGGATCTTAAAGATATGAAAAAAGAAATGAAGGAAGAGTTTGGAGGGTTGAAGAAAGAACTAAACAATCTGGCAGGCGAGGTGGAAGTTTTAAAAGCGGGAAAAATTGAAACAGATGAGACACAGGCGAAAATTATGAAGAAAATTAAGTCACTGGAGAAACAAAAAGAAAGAATGGGATTAGAACAAGAAAAAAATACTACAAAAACAAATGGATTATCAATTAAGGCTAAGAAATATGCAAGAAGATTCAAAGCAAGACATAAGGTCAACAGTGTTAAATCTCCTGGCCAGGGTCTTGGAGGTGGAGGAGGATGAGCTTGAGCAAGAGGTGGATCAAATATACCGAGTCCAATTCACAAAGAAGAAAATACGGGATGAGATAGGACATGGATGAATTGACTTTTTTGTTGAAGAAAAATACAGGTATGATACTAAGAAGAACGAACTGGGATAATCTCCATGAATATCTGGACAAATTGGGAAAATAAGAAACAAGAGAGACAATTTCGTTTAGAACTTATTTTATATTTTTGAATAATAAGAAGATATGATCCAAGAAGATGGAATGGAAGTCATTTTTTTTGTTTTTCTTTTCTCTTTTTTTTGTGTGTTTTGTGTGTTTTTGTAGTTATTTTATATTTTATTTTAATTTTTTTTAGGGGTTATTTGGGATTTTAGCATACTTTTTGCTTCTTCTTTTTTCTTTTTTCTTCTTCATTTCCTCACTTTCTTATACTTTATTGTTCTCACTCTTTCATTGTAATCTATATAAAATTAATAAAATTCTAATTAAGATGCTGTACTTTAAAGAGTGGAAATAAAAAAGAGCAGCTATAACCAGGTTTATGTGCAGTTGGTAACTCCAGACTATAAGGCCTTTGATTGACACTTAGCATGAGGAATCTGATTGATATATACATACATAATTTATTTAAGTCTTACTGTGCTATACCTTGGAAAACACCCTTGGTGAGATTCATAAATACAAAAAACGTCAAAGTGCTAAATAAAATTACAATGAACACATACACACTCTGAAATGGTATGAATCATGGTATTTCTGGAGGTAAAAGGAGAAGCATGGGATTTGTACTTTTGAACAACAGCAGTTCTCTCCAGAGGTCCTGTGCCACTCAAGTTGCTGAAGAGTGCCAGCTTATTTTGGACAGCCAGTAGTATTTGGTGCAGTAACTCTTGTGTGCATAAGACAAAACCTGAGCCTGAAAACTCAATTTGAAAAGTAATTGGCTACAGATCTTGTTCTACGAGATTAAAGTTAGCAGCAAATTACTTTAGTTACCTTTTAACCAAAAGTCTGAATAGCCCTCTTTTCCACCTTGGTGTCATCTCAGCAACATCCACAACAAGAGCCTGAGGCAGCAGCACAAGGCAAAGGGTTGGCCACCACTTGAAGGATATGATATCCTTCCTCAGCTCTCTAGTGAGGCCATAGCTGAAAGTAACTAAAATTAGAGGAAGCCACTAAGACCACGTAGTTATACAATTGCTGTTACTCTGCAAAAGGAGTAACTTTATTTACCTACTGAATTGCCATCCCATCCTTCACCCAAAATGGGATTCTTCCAAGATGTGGCATTATCACATTTTGTTCAAGCATAAACTTTTCACTGTGTCAAAAGCTAAATGTACTCAGGAGAGTAATATACTCAGTTGGACTTCCATCAGAACTTTTTATTGCTGGACAGCTAAGAATTATTCTAAAAGAAGGGGTGGGGTATCTTGACAAAGACATGCACCCATCAGAACATCTACAGTGGAAGGAGTTATAAATGTTGCAATTCTCCCATAAGCAAGAATAAAAATGTAACACCACACGTTGCCATGTTAATCTGATCATAATAAAGCAAGAGTATATTACTTCTAACTGAGTGGTTCTTAACCTATGGGTGCCCAGATGTTTTAGCCTTCAACTCCCATAAATCCTAACAGCTGGTAAATTGGCTGGGATTTCTGGCAGTTGTAGGCCAAAACACCTGGGGACTTATAGGCTGAGAACCACTATTATAGAGTCTTGAACAATATGAGGTTTTATAGATCAAAACTTGCACTGTGCAGTTGATCTAGACTAGACCTGTGATCAAACCTTATGATCCCCATGATCAATTTGGCCTCTGAATTTTTCATTAGTTGCATTTCCTGAACTGTGTTCAAAGTTACCCTCATGTATAGCACACTGCCCTAATCTAACTTAGTAATTAGATGCAGAAACGATAGCTTTTCTTTGTATGAAACAAAGAAGCTTTAGCATTTTCGAAGAATAACATGAGTAGCCCCGTGGAGTTTTATCATGTAGAAAATGAGAACTATCAGTGGCAGAGAACATGGTGTTCCTAATGATTAGGTTAAGCACATTTTAGTAATGCTTGTTTGTGAGCTGAATATATATATATTTAAAACAAACAGCCCTGCTTTATTGACTTTTGTTTTTCCGGTTTTGTCATGACTAATGCATATTCATTTCACATTTTGTACAGACACAGCAGATGGTGTATCTCAGGAGCTGTTCTCTGCAGGCCTGGTTGATGGCCATGATGTAGTTATAGGTAAATTATGTTTCATTTTAAAATTCTATTATTGATACTATTCAGTATTTGAATGGATAAGGGCCAATGCAAAACCATTCTTATCCTTGGCTTTTGACAAATAGATCATTTCCCTACTCTCTTTCCTGCTGTGAAAGAACAGCATAGTGTCTGGTATAAACTGTTTATATTTTATGACTACTTTGATTTGGCTTAACATAGATTGTGCTTGTGTGTTTTGCTCAAGTGCAGTGGTTCTCAACCTGTGGGTACCCAGATGTTTTGAACTTCTACTCCCAGAAATCCTAACAGCTGGTAAACTGGCTGGGATTTTGGGGAGTTGTAGGACAAAACACCTGGGGACCCACAGGTTGAGAACCACTGCTCTAGTGCTTTTCGTCCCCCCGAGGTACCTCTTGCTACTCAGTCATCTTGTTTAAACATAACATGATTTTTGTGCCTTTGATATTAATATTTACACATGCCCTTTGCTTTTTTTGTCCATCCATAAATAGGCTCACAAAGTCATCAGCATCTCTTTTGGGTCTCATCATCTTTGTTCACTTCAGTAAGCTGTGAAAAGCAAATCACGGTAGTAGTGGGCAAAGATTAAATTCATGTTTGTTGTGAACTTTGAGTTTTCTCTGCTGATATGGAGAGGATGTTTTGCAAATGAGACATGTTTTGCAAATGAGCCTCTCCTTTGAAGGCAAGGCCTGGTGGGAGGAAGCTGTGAGAGGGAGAAGATTCCCAGCATGATACAAATTGGTCTTGACCTGTAGGAGAATTGTGACTTTGACTTCATAATTGTGGCATAGGTTCCCCTGGTTCAATTTAATCAGGCAGGCGGAAGAGAGAAAGTGGATGATATTCTGTCCATTCCCCATTTCATAACTCCCAAGTAATAAAGTTTGCACCAGAGCTTAATTGGGGATGGAAAGTTAGACAGAAACAGAAAATTAGTGTCTTTTTTCCTGCCCCTGTAATGAGGCAGTCTTCACCTACACCTTGCTTCTTTTTTAAACCTGTCTGCAAGGATGGTTGTTTCATTCTTGGCTGCTTCCTCTCCAAAAAAGGAAAATAATAGGACTATAGAACTGGAAGAGACCCCTAAAGGCCATTCAGTCCACCTCTTGCCATGCAGGAATAGCACAATCAAAGAACCCCTGACTGATGACCATGCAGAGAAGGAGACTCCACCATGCTACGAAGCAGCAGCATATTCCACTGCCAAACAGCTTACGGCCAGGAACTTCTTCCTAATGTTTAGCTGGAAGTTCTTTTCCTGAAATTTGAAACCATTGCTCCATTCTCCAAAACAGCAGAAAACAAGCTTGCTCCCTCTGCAATGTGACACCTTTTCAAATATTTAAACATGGTTATCATGTCTCTTATCAGCCTTCTTTTCTCCAAGCTAAATATATTCAGTTCCCAAATGACTTAGCTTCCTCATAGGACTTACCTTCCAAACCAGGTCTTCCTGCAACACCCCTATTATCCTTTTTTGTTAATACTTTTTCCTCTAGGCACATTCTCCAAAGGGGTTGACTTTGGTGGTCATGAGAATTTTAGTCCAATTCATCTTGAGTGTGCCAGGTTGGGGGAGGACTGGTATAGAAATAAGTTCAACTGACCTTATTTTCCAGACGGAACAGGCTCTATTAGTTCAACCCCACCTCTACCCCAGTCGAAGGCAGTTGATAAATTGCATGCCACATTTTAGCTGAAGCATGCTGAAACTCATCCTGTACATAATGTGAGTGAAAACAAAACTCTTTTAAGTTTCGTGAAAGCTTTGTAAGAGTTGATCTTTCTGTAGAGGTGGAATTTAGGGGAATTTGGTGGTGAAGGCAGATTTTACCTTTGTCACTTTTTTATATTCTACATTAGTTTCATATTGAAAAAATCTGGAAATGTATTCCATAACACACACTGCTACAAGTCTAGTTGCGGCACATAGAGATAAAAATGCTTTTATAAAATTGGAACTCATTATTCCTCGGGTGGTGTCTGTATCAACAGTGAATGTTGCTTCCATTATTCAGGAACACTTGTGTTGGCCTAGCTGGGCATGAACAAAACATTACTTGAATGATGATATTGATAACAGTATTTCTGGCAGTTTACGTTAAGGAGGAAATACAGGCTCCTGAACATGTTCTATTAGCTGGCACTCCTCCGTCAAACAAACCAAAATAAAAAATCCAACTGGGATAAAAAGTACTTGCAAGTTCATTTGCTTGTGTTCATTGCTTGTGACATAAAATTAAACCAAACTTTTTAGAACTGGAACCCATATTTTGCTGATCACATTTGATAAAGACCAATTACACTAATAGCACTAATAAAAATAAAACCCAAAATACTTTACCTAAGGTTATTCACATAGTTACCTTGCTCTTCAATGCTTGCTGTAAGTACATATACCAACCCCACTCCAACAAATGATTTCACAGTGTAAGGATAAAGACCAATGTGAATCCTGTAGCCCACCAAAAACAAAACGAAAAACAAAAACAAAACAACTCCTGATGGGCATGTTTGTCTAACCTGGAGAAAATTCCCTCAATTTTATCAACCATCTTTACATATTTCCCACAACTTCTTTAGCTAGTACCCATATGTTAAGTGCTAAACAGTGGGGAAACTCCTCTTTTGAACTTAAATGGGAATATTTAAATTTGAATGCGTAAGTTTTAGCATTCCCCAAATTGTGTTATACATTTGTTGAGCATCAAGACCTCATCTATATCATTGGTCAGAGCCATGAGGCCCTTGAGCGAAGGAAGAGTAGCAACAAAGCTTGATCTGTCTGCTTCAAACATAATTTCTCTTGGTGGGGAGAGGTGTTGGGAGCCAGGAAGTCCTACATCCTATGGGACAACCTTCTCCAAGCTAATACATTTCAGATGTATTGAAAAGCAGCCATCAGCAAAGGTGCCAAATTAGGAAAGGTTGCCATAAAGGTTCTGTCAGTAATAATCAAACTTGCTGTGTTCCTTGAGTGGCAGATTAGTAGCAGTGATCAGATGAGGGTCCCCATGGTGTCCCAGAGGCCTTGGGTGGTTGTCTTTCTCCTTTTCATTTTCTGTTCTCGGAAACAAAGAGATAGGAATAGAGTTGAGCCCATGAGAGGAGCTCTGAATGAGATTCTGTCACTTTTGACATAATTGCCAGAGAAGCAATTTTTGTTGAGGGGTAGAACTACACCATGTTTATGTCTTGTACAACATCAAATTTTGGCAGGACCCGAGTAAAGAGGAATTTTTTGTTAGTCCTTATGCTATATTCTTTCAAAAAGGAAAAGCAAGAAAAGGTTAACTGAAACAACACCTTAACATAATTTCTCAGTGGTGTGGAACGACCACCTGCAGTACTCTGTTGAGTTGGTCAAATGACTTATCAGTGAACTTGCTTAAAGAAACAAAAATAACAAGTGTTCTTTCTTTGAAAAAAATCCCACGATGTCTTACTGTTTTTGACTTAGTTTACTTTTATATGTAAACACTGATTGGTTTACTTTATATTAAACGAAAGATCAAAGCATCTGCATATAGTTTCTCTCTAATTTGCAATGGCATTTGTAGTTAAAGCACAAGAGAATATTGCAAAGTATGTGAAAACTTGCCATTTTTTTAACTTTCATCATTTTCCTTGCTGATTTATCCCCCCTTAACACACTTCCATCTCTCAGTGCATACATCTAGTTGATGACTGAACTTTTTCTGTAATGTTCAGTCTTCTTCCACAACATACTGTGAGGTATAAGTTACAGAAAGCTCATGCAAGCATTAGAATAGATTAAAAAGAAGACTCTCAAAACTACTTGTCAGAGAAGAGGAAACAATTTTCTAATGGTTTCTTCTTGTGCCTGCAGCTTGGCTACAAGTAGTCTATCAGATTAGAGCACAAAATGGTGCCAATCCAGCAGGATGAGCAGTTTGACTTTTTATTTCCAATAACAAAGCAGGGAAGTTACCATATGTTTCATTTACACATTATACACATAAACTGAAGTCAGTTTTATACACAATATTTTGAATAATTTGGTGCATGAAACAAAGTTTGTGTACATTGAACCATTAGAAAGAAAAGGTTTCACTACCTCAGTCACCAATGTGGATAGTTTTGGGTTTTGGAGGATTTTGGATCTTTGCGTAAGGGATATTCAATCCGTATAATCAAAAATATTGTGAATCTTTTAGAATATTCAGGATATAACTTCCTGTCTTTGGGGGTGGATTGAAATATAAGATAAATCGAGATCTTATTTCATGACTTTCAAATTCCATTAAAGGATAACTATAAAAATGTTTAAACAAAAATTGCATTCCACTTTGTAGTCTTGTAGTTTTTCTTCAGTATTCCAGTATGAAAATAAATACATGGAAGTACACACTGTTTTTTTCCTGTACATTGCTTCCATTTCTCTAGGATGAATGCAACTTGGGTTGCATTCCAGGACTGTCATAAAACATTTATGCCATTCTGCTCTTTTACAAAAGCAATTATTGACTGTGTACAGTTTCACTTTCTGTGTATTCCATTTGTTATGCTTTGTTTTCCCTAGTTGCTGCTAATTTACAAAAAATAGTAGATGATCCAAAGGCCTTGAAAACAGTAACCTTTAAGCTGGTAAGTAAAGTAGTATTAGCAGTAAAATAATGTGAATGAATAGAAAAAAAACTTTATTGTTATTATTTTGAGCCAGGTTTTCTTAATGTGGTGTGTTCTCTCAGCCACTTTTCTGCATTGAACATTTTCAGTTTTTTACTACTGTTCACAAAATTAGGAAGAAAAATAGGAAACAATGTAAATGGCCAGGAAAAAATATTATTTAAGGAACAATGTTAAAGTGTAGTAAGTTTATAAAGTCTGATGTATATCTATATGTATTTTTTCACAATTGATAATGTTTACTGGCTGGCAATGATTAAGACTAACTGGGACCAGGTGGACCTGTAGGCCAACACTAGTTTATTTCTCGTGCCTCTGGCAGAATCTAAAATGTAGGCAGAAATTAGGTTCATTCAAATATACTATTTAGATATATCTATTTCTCCATTTGAAGTAAATTTCAGATAAGATTCTATAAGTAAAAAGTGGCACAATGCCCATAAGAAGATAATTTTAAGACATTCCCAACAGACAGGCTGGCTGTCCTTTTTTCTTACACGCAGTTATCTCTACCACTGCTTTTTAAGCTGTGAGTCCCAACTCCAAATGGCGTCTCCTTAGCTCAATGTTGGGATTGCAAATATATTGACAACAGCAAAGCTTTCTGAATGAATGACACCCAGACATTTATACAAATTTGTGCAGTTCTTACCATGGATTCTGCTGAAAACACTTCAGTTGTACTCCACAAAAAAGCGAAAGCCGGCCTGTTTAGCAAGCCTTGCAAGTGCTGATTTATTTTCAGTAAATGTTTGCTTTTTATACCTAATTTATATAGGTACCACTTCGGTGGGAAGGTAAGGGCACTCCTTGTAGTCATGCTGTCCACATGACCTTGTAGGCGTCTACAGATAATGGCTGTGCTTCGGCTTAGAAATGGAGATGAGCACCACCCCCCAGAGTCGGACTCGACTAGACTTAATGTCAAGGGGAAACCTTTACCTTTATACACCAGGGGTCATGGGGGGGGGGGGAGGTGGTTAAGAAAAATAGAGCTTTTGCATAGCCCTCCCACGTGCTTCTAGAACCTGGTTGTTTTTAATTGCCACACTTCTAAGAATCCACTGTAAAAGCTGCTCTGTAAGTGAAAATGGCAAAATTGTAGGGTTGCCTTTTTCAGTTGTACATTTTATAGCAGAGACAGGAATCTTGTGGCCCTCCTGATATTGTTAGATTACATCTCTCAGCAATGTTAGCCAGCATAGAAAAGGGTGAAAGATGCTGAGCATTGCAACCCAACAATCTTTGGAGAGTCAAAAACTTTAAGGCAAACCTAGGAACCACTTTTGAAACTCCCAAATGAAATTATTTTACAGTCCTTAGCAATGTATATTTCTCAAGAACTCGAAAAATTTTAAATGTATGATATACATTTTGTTCTATTGGAACCAAGCAATTGAGATTTGCTTAGAAAGGAGTAGGAGTTGTAAAATATTAATTGCAAATCTGCAGTGTGATGGGGATACAATTGTATTATGATCGAAAAGTTAGACAGTGGAACAAATCCAATCAAGTTAAAATAATAGCCATTTATGACCAGGGTTTATCTTTCGGTGATATCCTGGAACCAGAGAGCAATGAATGTAGTGAATGAGTACTTTAATGTGGTTAGTAGTCAGTTGATTCAAAAGGAACATGGTTCAATAGTACAGAAATACTTGTCATAATAGTTGCATGTACAGTTTCCTTAGGTGCTAAAGAAGCCACATGAACTGGATGGAGTATACAGTCAATAAACTGCAATAAGTTGTTCTTGTTTTATTACTAATTGTGTTATGTGTACTACAGGTCCATTGGCTTCTTTACTTTACACCAAAGGATCCTTGTCCTGTTCTTAAAATCAATGATATATAAATTGAGTGCTTTTGCGTAAAAATTACATTGGGTTGTTGTAGAGTTTTCAGGCAGTCTGGCCATGCTCTAAAAGCATTCTCTCCTAGGAGAGAATGTGGGAGAGAATGCTTCTAGAACATGATCGTACAGCTCGAAAAACTTACAATAACCCAGTGATTCCAGCCACGAAAGCCTTCAACAATACAAAAATTACATTGTTGTTACTTTGCATGGGTTTTGAGCAAGGAGAAGTAAATGGTGTGTTGAGATCTAGCTGTGAAATGAAGGGATAACTTGCTTATATATACATACAGAGAGAGACGAAAAAATCTTCATGTGGTAAATGCATGACCTACTTACATAAACAATGTTTGGGATGAATTTCTCTCAAATGGAATGCTGCTAACTCCAGCTCCGTAGACTACTGTGGAATAATGGGGGACCCACTAAATAGTAGTGGGAACTCCTGAATATCTAATGCTTTATATCTATCATAAAGCATTCTCTCCAAATAAGCTATCCACATGACATTTTAGATATCAAAGGTACCAAAAAAAGGGCAACTTGGCTGCTGTGATCACTCAGCATCATATCAAAACACTTAACTTATTTACTGCAATTTCTCGATTCAGTTTCTTAAAATGTTTTGCCAATAAAAGAACATTCCCACCTTTTTGAATGTTGTCCCATTGTACAAGGCTATGGTTTGTGAAGCCATTGCATAGCCAAGGGGAAGAAAAAGAACTGGCAAAAACATTTAAGATGGAAATTGTTTCTAAAATGGAATTTTAAAAATAAGAGAAAGAGAATGCTTTCTACACGTAATGTTAGTAGTCTGTGCAAGAACGCTTAAAATGCACATATTGAAAGAGCAATTAGGACATGTTAACACCAAGGGAAGCATTGGCACTGAGTAGTTAATTGCAGGAATGCTACATTCACATCCTTGGCAAATGTCTCGGTCTCTGTTGTTTAAAGTGTTGGACAACTGTGGCTTGTTTTTCACAAAGCTTCCCTGCCCTAAATAGAAAGAGGGGGAAGTATGTCTCAAGCGGTTGGTTTAATTAGTGATATTGATTCTAAGATCTACCTTCTTGATAAAATAAATGTGAAGTTCAGTTAATGAAGGTCAGCTACATTAATACAGTTGTATCCAGTAGAAAATTGGCTAAGACAGGGTTGGGGTACATATGTGGGTCTAATATTGCAGGTTAAAGATACAATTTTGAAGATTAACTTTTTCTCTTTTTTAAAAAATTGTTGTGTACTTCAACTAGTAAAACTTTCATAAAACAATAAAATTGTCTTTCTTTTAACAAGTAGCCTTGCTGCTACTGTGCTGATGATAACCTGTATGGTTGTCATGATTTGGAATATATACACACACTTCTTTGCTTATAATATACGAACATATTTAATTTCCACTGCCCATAAGTAAAACATTCATTGTTGTCAAAGCGAAATATACTTTTCACTTGGCACTGAACAGGTTAATAGGCTTGTGCAATTCAGCCAAAAGGCATGCCATTTCAGGATCCATTTTCCACTAGCCCCTCATTCTGTTTACTGGGAAGTTACTCAAATTGGGAAGAGTGTTGCTGTTTTCATTCGGCAAAGATTTGGTCCATTGGCTACAATGGGAAACTTTAAAGGCTCAATCCTCAGTCATTTTAAAGCCTATCCGCATGAGACGTACCTCAGTTTTAGATCCCATTTACAACTGCAGGCCAGTCAAGTTTCAGAACAATTCGTCAATATACTGATTTTTGAGAATTATTTTAAGTTTTTACTGTAACATTTTTTAAAAATAAGACAAACCGCAAGAGAGGATTCTGGGAATTGTAGTCGCCAGTTGTGTCTATTCTTAGCCAGTCAGAGCATGAACACAACCAGGCCTTTTATTGTCTGAGAAACAAACAAAGAGAAAAACTTCAACTCCCATCATGCTCCAAGGAGAACTCGGAGATTTTTCAGTGCCCGTCCCATGCAAGTACTGCTGGAAAAGCAAGTTCCCAACAGGGCTCTCTCTGGAGGAGGACCCTAGGAAACTTTTCCACTGCCAGGGAGGGAGCAAGATGCTGCAGGATCTTCTCCAGGAGCCCCGCGGCAAATCGCTGCCTCAGGTATAATGCAGACTTAACTCCATCTTCTCCAGTAGCCAATAAATTTGGCTCTCTTGATCTGTTTTGCCCAGATTTTTGGTTTCCTCCTCCCTGTTCTGTTTTTGAGGGATTACACTAAACAGACCACCGAATATTACAAATCACTTTTGGTCAAACTGATTTGGGCCCAAGCCTACAGGTTAGGAGTGATCAAAATTGGTTCTGCTCAAAATGTAGACTGGTGCTAGTTTTCAAGCATTTCAATGCCATAGTTCCTGGCACATTGGGGAGGGGGGAGGAATGGGAGAATTGCAAGTCCCTTACATCAGATAGCCTGAGAAGATGTGATCTAAATGGCATAGGTGTCAGTGGGAATTAAGGTAGGATTTCAGCTTTGATTTTAAAGTGAAACAGGCAGTATATTCATGTATAAGTCTAGAAATTTTAGTCAAAACGGTTAACCCAAAAACTCTTGAGTTGATTTATCCGCAGGTCAAAGTAAATATTGTACCTTATCTCTCACCAAAAAAGAACGATTCCTTTCCCTCAGTGGAGTGGTGAAAGCTTAGTCCAGGTCTGCACAACATATGGCCCATGGGCTGGATGCGGTACACAAAAGGGCTTTCACGTGGCCCTTGGGAATGGCTTGAAGTGGGCAAAGGGACTGGGCTTCCCCATCGCCAGTTGGCTCTTCCCCTGACTGCCTTCCTGGTCAAGCAGGCAGGGCGGAAGGGAGGAAGAGTGGCCCACAGAAGGTTTTTAAAAAATTTGGTCCTGTACAACTGCCAAGTTTTGCAGGCCTGGCTTAGTCCCTCCAAGGAGAACCTAAAAGAAGCACCCAACCAACTTTGCTTTCTGCCACAGTGCCACCTTTGGCCGTTTTGAATAACTGGGCAGAAAAATTGCAACTACCAAGGACAACTGTCACTTTCCTTCTTTGTGGAATGGATCCACATTTTTGTCTCTTCTACACACTACACAGCCACCATTTACAATACTCCCTTCCTCATCCATCTAATATTATGGTGAACACAAGCGGTTATGCCTGCTGGAATTCTGTGAACTCTTTGGCATCATTTTCTTTAATCCTTTACATCCTTATAGGTTCATTCTCCTAAATGTTTATCTGCAGCTTATCCAAGGATCATATCAAAAGCTGTATTTTGTCCCCCCAAACTGCCCTCAACTTAGGAGGGGAATAGAGTACATACCTGGATTGGGAAAACTAACAGCCTGTTAGGAATTGTGGGAGATGTAGTTCAAAACACCTGGCGGGTCGAAGTTTGTCCATGCCTGGTAAATACGGTAGTCCCTTGATCTGTATTACGGAGATTATATATCACACTAGCCGTCCCTCCCCTGCCACACATTGCTGTGGCCCACATGGGGGTTCTGTGTGAAAGGTTTGGCCCAACTCTGTCATGGGCGGAGTTCAGAATGCTCTGTGATTGTAGGTGAACTGTAAATCCCAGCAACTACAACTCCCAAATGTCAAGATTGTATTTTCTCCAAACTCCACCAGAGTTCACTTTTGGGCACATTGAGTATTCGTGTAGAGTTTGGTCCAGATCCATCATTGTTTGAGTCCACAGTGATATCTGGATGTAGGTGAACTACAACTCCCAAACTCAACGTCAATGTCCACCAAACTCTTGTAGTGTTTTCTGTTGATCATGGGAGTTCTGTGTCCCAAAATTGGTTCAATTCCATCATTGGTGGAGTTCAGAATGTTCTTTGATTGTAGGTGAACTATAAATCCCAGCAACTACAACTCCCAAATGACAAAATCAATTTTTTTGATTGAAGGACATACATTGGCCTGATAGGTATATTGTGTCCAAATTTGGTGTCCAAATTTGGTTTTTGAGTTCTGTGAATACCACAAACGAACATTATATTTTTATTTATATAGATTGTTCCTACACATATGTAATCTTGGCTTATGGTGGTTCCCTCTTTTTACTCCCTGTTTTTTTTTTTTCCAGGCATCTGGCTGTGATGGTACGGAGATCCCTGATGAAGTAAAACTGATTGGGTTTGCTCAGCTCAGTGTCAGCTGATGCCAGTCTCTCGACCCCCTCAGCACAATGGTGAGATTGCAAAGAGGCCAGCTATAATCGCGAAGGAAAATTTCCAGGCTCCGCACACAAACAAACACACACACACACACACTGAGTTCTGCTTCATTCTATAGCAATTCACCACCTTGGAACAAGCAAAGCCCACAGCTACACTGCTCCTGCTAACATTCCAAAAGCTACTAAATGTGTCTCTCGCAATCAGTTTGGATTTCCCCGAAGCGAACAAACAAGACGGATTGGAAATGCGCTCAGGTGGCTGTATCCATTGGTTACAAAAGGAATTTTCTATTAGAGCTATTTCTTCTTTAATTAAAAAAAACTGGTAATAACTATTTTAGCAGCTAATACTGACTCTGCTGTTGTATGTAGAAATGAACATAATGATAAATTCTAGGGCTTAATTAGCCAAACTTGAATTTTTGTTCTGAAACCAACTGTGAATTTTATTTTCCCCCTTATATTTATGCATTATCCATCCTGGCTGTGAGAAATTGATTTTAACCCCATTCTTAATTTATGTGCTACTTGCAGTTGAACACACTCGTTTAAAGAGAGTTTCAGGTTTATCCTCAAAGCCTATGTCACAATCTCTGGTTTTTTAAACTGAGGTAGGCATTTAGTTTTGGTTTTGTTTTGGTTTGTGTGTCCTTTTAAAAAAAAATCCATGAGGGGATTGTCAGGGGTGTGGGAGGTGCCTTGCAGATATTAATGTCCTAAGATTGTGCCTAAAGCTGTGTGAATCGGAGCTCATCTCATTTCTAGATCTAGCATGTCTAGATCTCTGAGTAATGAGGAAGATTTATTGTAGCAGAGACTTGAGATAAATACATATGGCCTACATTCTGCTTCGTGGGGGGAATCACAAGCTGAAATTTCTTTAAACAGTTGCCATTAAGCTAAAATGCCTTTACTCTGCCCATCTCTGATTTGGCTTATCTTGAAGGGATAGGAATTGTTTTATAATGAGGAAAAAAAACTTGAAGAGAATCTAAGCTTTACTTGAAATTCTGTAGAACACCCAGATGGAGTGCAAATAATAGGAAAGGGCTTTGTGCAATGATTTAAAAGTTGAAGAAGCAAATTTCTGTTACATTTTTTTAAAAAAACACACTTCTGACCGAAGTCATATGCTTAACCTGTGGCATAGATATTTTGGAGCTAGTAAATGTTAGAAAGGTTCTCTAATCTGAAGCTTATTTTCAGAGGAGTGGGTTTCTTGGATGCTACCTTGCTAAGCTCACTTCCTAGATAAACTTGGATAAATGGCAGCTCCCTAACACATGGGGGGAAATGGCAAATGTGTTATTTAAGAGTTATTTATAATGCCTTGTCATAAATGTTTGAGGTGTTCTAGAGCCATTTGCGTACAACTCAGTGTAATTTCATTCCATTCTATTGTTTACACAATGATTACTCAAAGATTGACTGCAGAGGTAAAAGGAAATAAAAGCGTATTGCACAAAACAGATCATTGTCATTCTTCTAATGATGAAGTGATGTTACTTGAAGTCTAAATTGTACTGTTTTCCATTTCCTTCTCACCCCCCCCCCCCCTTAATGTTCTATCTTGTGTTGAATTCTGAACTTCAGCTTCCTTCAGGCAGACATCAATCTTCTTTTTTCAGTGTGTTGTCGAAGGCTTTAATGGCTGGAATCACTGGGGTGCTGTGAGTTATCTGGACTGTGTGGCCATATTCCAGAATCATTCTCTCCTGATGTTTTGCCAGCATCTATGGCAAGCATCCTGAAAGGTTGTGAGGTCTCACAACCTCTGAAGATGCCTGCTATAGATGTGAGTGAAACATCAGGAGAGAATGCTTCTGGAACATGGCCATACAGCCTGGAAAACTCATAGCAACACAATATTTTGTTGTTGTTGTTAAAACATCAATGCCATGGATGATACATAAATATTTGTATGTCTGAGTGTGTGTGTGAAAACAAAGGATTCTTTGGGGTTTTTGCCATTTGTGGAAGATACTGACCAAAACATATAAATCCTCCTTACCATGTTACAACAGTTGAGATTTTGACTTTCAAAGCATTAATTTAAACTAAAGGTTGGAATTTTGTGCACATAGTTACATGTGAATAGGTTTTAATTGGCTCCCATGTTGGAAAGTATAGGAATAAGGGAATGTTTCTCCATCAAAATGGTGAATGGGAGAACTTGTGCATACGTATGGCAGAGCCCTAACTGCACCATCATGAACTAGGAAAATGTCTTGGGGATCTCTAGGCTGGGCTAGTCCAATGCGCTCCATGTAGGTCCACCTTTGGAGATGTCTTGAAGGTGGTTTACATAGTTCAAAATGCTCATGCCGGAGTACCAGAATGCAGGGTTGAATCGTGTACACAGCTACCATTTGTGTTGCTTGCTCAAATGTTTTGGAGTCCTGTTTAAGGAACTGTTTCTAACCTGTGAGGCAGAGTTTTAACTCTGGGAGACAGTGAACTACAACTCTCAGCATACCTGCCCATTGTCCATGTTGACTGGGGCTGATAGGAATAGGATCAAAGTACAGAGCAACCAGTTTCACCTTACCACTTTTAAGCCTTGGAGAATTGAGCAAATTCCTTGAAGGGTTGCCTTTACCCCTCCCAGATTCTCTGCACTTTGAGAACCCTGCTCAAATGTCTATTGAAGTTAATCAGGCTGGCAAGTAAGCATTGGGGTGGGCTTTTTTTTTAGTCCTGGCCACACCATTGCACCATTGTGTCTAGTCCTGTCCTTATAGACCAGTGGTTCTCAGCCTGTGGGTCCCCAGATGTTTTGGCCTTCAACTCCCAGACATCCTATTAGCTGGTAAACTGGCTGGGATTTCTGGGAGCTGTAGGTCAAAACACCTGGGGACCCACAGCTTGAGTAGACCTTCAGAAAGGGTGTTAAGAAATACATTTTTTCTGGCCTTTTCTTAAAATAGATTTATGCCATGCTGAGCTGACACTATTTTAACTATTTAAATAATTAGTGCAGGTTTTTTATTGAACAGTTTTTAAAATGCCTCTTAAAAGCTGAGCTTGATTAATGATTGACTTAGTAAGTTTATTGTTCTAAAGACAGATGTGTTTATTGTACTTCATGTGGTCACTTCCCTTACCATACCATAGATTTTGGTATTGGACTAGAATATTGATCTCACTGATCTACAGATGGTTTGGTTGATGCCTGGATTTGGGGCCCATGTGTTTGTGCCAACTCCATGTACAGCTATAACCAATAGAATAACAACAACAACAACAATAATTAATAACAACAACAACAATAATTAATAATAATAATAAACTTTATTTATATCCCACCACCATCTCCCCCAACAGGGGCTTGGGGCAGCTTACATGAGGCCAAGCCCAAACAGCAAATTACAATAAAATAAAAACCAAAGACACAAACAACAACACAGTGAAATACATAAAACATATGAATACAATAAGCAATATAAAATACAATATCCACAATCACAATGACAATGAGCGGGCCGCATGTGCAAGATAAAATGCTAAAACTCAGGGTGTCATAAAAGAGGAGCAGATTATTTGTGAGGGAGAGCTCATAAAGAAACGGGGTTGTAAAAAACAGACCTTCATACAAGTGAGGGAAGTGTACTCCAGGAACAAAAACGTTGAGGGGAGCAATAGTGTGTGGTTGTGTGGCTACTCTCCGAAGGAGCAACAAAAACCCAGGTTTTGAGATCCTTGAAGGTTTCTAAGGTGGAGGCTTTCCTAATCTCTCCGGGCAATGAGTTCCAGAGTCGGGGGACTACAGAGGAGAAGGCCCTCTCCCTTCTGCCCACAAGATGGGCCTGTGATACTGGCAGGGGCGAAAGGAGGGCCTCCCCCGAAGATCGAAGAGCTTGAGCTGGTTCATGGAGAGAGATACGGTCACGAAGGTAGGCTTTGTTGTTCCAAAAATACCGGTATACAGGCAGTCCCTAAGTTACCAGTATCCAAATTGCATACGGCTTTAGTTACAAACGGGGGTGAGACTATAGGAAGTGAGAGGAAATCTATTTCTCAGAAGGGAAATTCACTCCTGAAAGAGTTATGATGGGGAAAAGGTATTTCCACTGAAGATTTATCACTAGTTCTTGTTTCTACAACAACTTAAGATTTTCAAAATCCAGTTGTCACAGGGACAGAAAGTGTGGTGAAATTTTCTGAATGGGGACACAGACAGCATTCAATCGTTACAGGGTAGTTAACCTTTCCCTATGCTGTTCTACACTAAATATTTTGGCCGGAATTATACTTTAAAAATGTGCTTGTTCTGACTTACATACAAATTCAACATAAGAACAAACCTACAGAACCAATCTTATTCGTAGCCCAGGAACTGCCTGTAATGTGTTTTCTCTGGAAGGAATGGTCTTTCCCTGTATATGCAATTCACATCAACAAAGTGCCATTATCATGCAATTGAAACGAGAAATGAACGAGATCATTCCAGTAACGGTATGTTTCTCTTTACTTAATGCAGTTTTGTCTGATGTGCTATAGTCCTGTCTACTTCATCACGTGCCAATGCTATCAACTTCTTTCTCTCATTTAGTTTCAGTGGTGCTACAAGATCCTTTTGCATATTGAAAGCACATAGTGTGACAAAGTATGAAATCCCATTGGCTCTCTATTATTGAGTTTATTTTCCCTAGTTACAATTATCTCTTGTGTTCTCAGAATGTATGTTTGTGTGCATGTAAAGACAGGAAAATCAGAAGAATGTGTTTAATTAACTGTTAATAAGCCAAAATAAATCTAATTCCATTCTATTCATGTCAGAAGGGAGACATTAATTCTTAAGTCAATATTAAATTGCTGTGTAAGATTAAGTTAAATAGCTGCACTGAAATCCTTATCAGAATCAACCTGAAAAATTACATCCATAGCTTTGTTCACTCACACAGACAGAGAGGTCCAGGCATCGACCAACCCACCTGTTGATCTGGAGAGACAGGACAAAATGCATGCCTTTTTGAAAACCCAATTTTTCATACTCTCCACCAACTGCCTTGCTTTCTCTCTCTTCTCTGTAATCTCAACTCCTTACTCCTTCTCCTTTTCTACTTTGTATGTAGATCCTGGCAAAAGTTTCAATATTCAGAACTTCAAAAGCCAGTTTCCTGAGACAGACAAGGAGCCTTTATTTGGTGTCTGAATGCAAAGATGATCACTCTCTTTAAAGGGACTGTACTATTTACTGGTTTAAAACATTTCAGCCTTGGATAACTAAACAATCATAGTCTCTTTGAGAATTGAAATTGGTGGTTTAGATCTTCTTGTCTTTTTTACTCGATAGTGTACTTGTTGTTTGTTTGTTTTAAGCAAAGGCTCCTATGCTCAACAGTCTTGCCCTTGATTTTAAAAAAATGTTGCTCATTCTTAACAAAAGGAACAATGTCCAGGGGGTTCATACTAATCTCTCCTTATTGGGTAGAGCTGGGCAAACTGTCCAAATGTTTGTCTTCACAGCTCTAACCACAGTCATTGATGAAGAATTTTTGGAGTTGCAGTCTAACAACATTTGAAGGGCTACACTTTGCTCACTTGGAACTTTGGATGGTTTTCTTCTCAGTAAGGTTGCGAAGAACAAGCTGTTGTGAGAAAGAAAGACCTCATACGTACCTTCACGCTTACCTTCTTTATAACTTTGCCAACTGTTTCTGAATCTCTTATATACAAATTTATTTGAAGAAGCATTTTTAGGGGGCTAACTCAAGTGGCATTGCTAACTTCTACCTGTCCTCAAACACTGTGATTCCAGGGAATCTACCTGTCGCACATGTATGCCTTGCTGTATAGACTTAAGCAGCTTGCCAACAAAGAGTAGGCAAACTGGTAACCTCTAGATGTTTTTGTTTCCAAGTCCTACACACACAAACACACACACCTTACATTACTCCATGATGAACTATATATGTTTTACACACACACACACACACACACACACTTCTTCCATTACCACATGGTTAACTCACTCTCTCTCTCTCTCTCTCTCTCTCTCTCTCTCTCTCTCTCTGTATATAAACACACACACATATATTTCTTCAAATACCACAACCAAGCCATATTTTTGAAATACTAAGGAAAGCAGAGAATTGTTTTGGACTCTCAATTCTGCTACCAAAGGTTGAACAACCTGCAGCATGCCCATTGCTGTTGGGCCACAGCTGCTATCAACCCTGACAATCAGTCATGCTATCTGGAACTGATTATAGCTATAGTTGAACAACATTTGGATTGCTCAGTTCTGAACTGGCAAGAAGCCTCTTCTATCCAACTCTGGAGCACGCTACGGAAAAAGGACCCTTCTCCTTCCAAAGATGTTGTTCCCGATTTTGTTCTTGCTCTTTTTGCAAAATTGCAAACAATCTCTTTGTCAAAGGAATATATGCTAGCGCTCTGATTCTTATTCCCCACATTTCCCAGGCTCTAGGACCACCCCAATACATTGCAGTATGGCATGAAGC